TTTGGGGGGGGGGCGGGGGGTTAGGAGCTATTGGTCTTCTTGTAGAGCATAAACCTTCGGATGGCTTGCTTTAGTTGACTACATCGCGCAAGTGTTGGAATGTCATGTCTTACCCTTATTTCCCTCATGGTGTCATTCAAGTAGACATCTTCATTCCTAGCAAATCACTTTCTCATTGGGCCAATATTATCACGAAACAATTCTCGGAAAACTATATCATATCAACGTTGGAGTAGTCACCAGCAAATAGCCCGAAATGAATCCTACAGGTATGTGAAATCCCATGAAACAACAGCTGAAAAAAACTGACGTTGCTCCCAATTCAGACCCTTCGTTTGCAACGTCTATGACATCTGGGATGAAATGACTGATAATAATATTGTCCTCAATTTAGCAGAGTCGATGCCCTATGGGTTCGTGCACTACACAAAACCAATGACTCCTACGCAAAATAACAATGAACACCTTTAATATTAAGTCCGTTTTTTGTGGTATTTGTGATTGCTCTGTTTTCTATCTTGTTTGAAATTGAAACTACCGACATTTAAATATTGTTTATTGCAGAGAAACAAATTCTCCATTAATTGGATATACAATGTAGCCTGTCCATTCTATCAATATTGATGGTCCCCAATATACGCGCAAAGACAACGTTTCTGTGATTTCGCACAATTTTGCTAAGCCTGATTGTTTAAGGTCAATTTTGAGTGACCATATTATTATCTCGAGCATCTCTTAACTTAAATGAAATATTATTGGGTCAGATGATACAGAATTTATTTAGCTTTAGATTGGTTGCTGTATGAGTGGGTAGTGCAAGGCTTTAACCCGATTACTGGATGATTACATTATCAAGTTTCTTTTGGAACCCACTGTATAATACACGTGCGGGTGTGTTATACCCAGTTGTCGGCCAAAGGGATATAAATAGGTTGCCGTGAAAAGGGTTAATATGTAAAGGCCATGTTACTCTCAGCCATAAATCGTATTTCATTCTTCGTATAGTAGAACTGTCAGATTTATCAAACTCTATATGTGAGGCAGCCTGGTGGAATCAGGCTCTCGTCAATTTTGGGACAAGTAGAGTTACTGGTATCATCTTACAGCTTGTTCACATGTCTTTATTTGGAGGAAAAAAATATTTATTTATCTTGAATACAAGTCCAGATATTTGCAAAAGAAGGAGGTGGGGGTCATCTGTTTTTAGATATAAAATTAGTGAGAAAATGGCCGCCAAAGATTAGTTATTTCCTTAGCTCTTAAGTCTGTGGTAACTGAAGATTTACATTTTTTATGCCTTTAATCAACATTTTTCAGAAAAATCCACTCAGAAATGAGTTCTTTAAGGAGCATGAAAGGTGTTGAGCCAAAAAACAAAAATATTGATAAAAATTCACAAACCCGTGGAAAAATGCAAGTTTCTCCACTTTGATTATTTTGACGAGAGCCTGATTCCACCATGCTGCCTCACATATTATTCTGTTTAAACATTTCATTTTATAGTGTCCAATTCCCTTTAAATTGGGAGAGATTCCTTGTGTTGTTACTTAACAAACGTAAAAAAAAGAGGCCCATGAAGTTATTAGTTGCAAAAATCTAATGACACAAACTCTCCCTACGCATTCTCTTAATTATTTGTTATTGTAGTCTGTGGACTTAATCGTCCACAGACATTCGAGGGATCTGTAGGCCTCTACATCTCAATAAAGAGAATAATTGATTCTTTCGACCAATTCACCATAAGCCTACTGACTACTGTACACTGTACAGTGACTGTGTAGTAGTAGATAGTAGATACCTAGTGTGCAGTGTGTAGTCCTAACAGCTTTGACGTCAGATGCACTTACAACGCACTGGGTGACCCTTGATGCCTAACTTTAGTTTGAAAGTAGACAATTGAAAAGCAAGTTTGCTCAAGTTTTAAAATACGGCATCAAATCAGGTTCTACGTAAGTCGTGAGCCACTTTGTTTATTTTGATACGCCGATTTCGAAAATGAAATCAGTTTTTAGCTGCGATAATTAGTGGAAACCTGATATAACAGGGATGGTTGGAGTAGAGAAAATGTCCTGTTATATCCGATCCCTGTTAAATCAGAAATGCAAGGACATTAAGCATTTGTGGACTAATCCAACTGTACTTATTCATTGGTAGTTGCCCTTGCCATTAGTATCCACGAACAGGGGTTTTGGCACCAACTTTCTCCTTGCCTCCTTAAACCATATCAGAAGAGCTTGGTCCGGAGATTCTGCATCGGATAGTTTCATCTTCTTTCGATCCTGAGCAAACTTTCCATTGGAGTATGCTGCCACTATCTTCTCTCTATCCTTGATAATGTTGTGAATCGACCCTTGTGGAATGTCGTACTGACGACAAATCTCTGCCAGTGGAGCTTGCTTTTTGTCAACAGCCTGGATTATTTCGTATTTTTTGTCAATTGAAAGGCATTTTCTCTTGCGCTTAACATTGTTGGTGACGCATTACGCGTGCGTGTTGCTAGCTTTCTGGCTAGATCGAGGTCTGCAGCACACCGTAGCGGTCTCTTGCTTCACGCTACGTGTGCTCGCAGTGGCATGGCTTGCGTGGGCTTGCTCCATCACCACGTTACTCTCTCTCTCTCTCTCTCTCTCTCTCTCTCTCTCTCTCTCTCTCTCTCTCTCTCTCTCTCTCTCTCTCTCTCACTCTTACTTTTTACACATTGTTAACGAGCCTTTGTTCCTGTTATAACCGGTTGGGCTGCGATGAGGCCCTGTTATTGCCGATAACTTTTAATAGAGACAAAGAATAGGAAAAAACGGGGATTTTAAAAATCCCTGTTATTACCGGATCCCTGTTATTACCGGATCCCTGTTATTACCGGGCCTGTTATATATGGTTTCCACTGTATTTTGAAAATTCTGTGCGCAAAATTTAATCTCACGCGGCAGGCAAACGAATTTTGCTTCACAACCTCTCACGTGTCACTTCACACTGAGGGGGTGGGGAGGGGGGTATTATAAGATCAGTTAAAAGTAACTGTTGTCTGTCCTCTTTATGATAGGAAAATACTGCAAGATACAATCTCGGTAGAATCTATATGAAATACTTCTTTTTGTGATCTTCTAAATCCAGCAAGAAAAACGGTCAACCGCGAGTTATTAATTTGGTTAATTTGGACACGCTGGTTCCGAATTTGATATTATTTTTTACGATTAGACATAGTTTTAAATGTTTATTTTAAAATCATTTTATCGGGCCGCGGGTGTATCGATACCATCATCAATACCATCACGACGTGGTATTCGCTTAGGGCAGTCGCTGTTCCCCGGACACATGTTTTCAAGTTTTAAAAAATAAAGTCGCTGTTCCCCGGTGCTCCGCAAACAATTGCTTCAAGACAATGACATTTTTTTTTTAAAATTGGAATTTCTTCGAAGCGAACCATACTTACAAAGAAAAGTTGGTAAATTAGTTTCTTCCTCAGCATATTATTCATGTCTTCTTTCAAATTTTATTCTGCACCTCATTTTTCCTTGATGAAAACTCACACGCCATTGGTGTTTAACGTAGTGATACATTATCGACGTTTAAAATAAATGCTTCCTACTTTTAGAATAAGTACATACACTTTCATGTTTGGGGGGCTTTTGATGCACACGTTTGGTACTTGTCCATTCAGTCAACTGTTCCATGATGGCAGCTTTTGCCCCTACATGTGTGCACTGGTTACATGCTCCACCTGTTAGGCTCAATTTCACTGTACCAGACGTTCTACCTCTCGCCGTTACGTTTAAGAGACACACCAAACAAAATAAAATAGGGAAAATGACAAGAACAAATAAACATCTATAACAACAACAACAACGAAGACAAAAACAACTACAACAACAACAACTGCAACAACAGCAACAACAATAACAAAAATAACAACAACAACAACAACATCTACAACAGCAACAAATACAACAAGAATAACAACAACAACAACAGCAACTGTGGTTCTTGCTGTTCCCAGCCATGTTTTCAACCTATCCAACATCGTCTCCCTCTGCCGGCCTCTGCTTCTCTTTCCATCAAACCTGCCTGTTCTTACAATATTCTCCTGTGCATCTTTCCGCATTGTGTGACCAATGAAAAACAGCAACAATAACCCAAAATAAAAACCTACCACCAACATCACCAACACTAACAACAACAGCGAAAACAACAGCAGCAGCAACAACAACATCAACTTGATCTTGATTACCTTTCAGCTGAAGGAGAGACTCCAGGATTTGGCGATGAATGTTCAAGTGGGCACCAGTGGAATCAGGTGGGTGGAAAGTTGATCTCATCCTTTACGTTATGGTCCAAGCACTCATAATTGTCACATTTAAGGTATCAATGGGCTCATTATAATACTGCATGCATCTTAAATGTCACTGGACATATATCTAATGTCAGTTGACTTTTCTATTTGTCTCTCTCTCTTTTTCTCTCCCTCTCTCTCTCTCTCTGTCCCTCTCTCTCTCTCTCTC